AAATTAAATCATTTCAGATATAGCTAAGACTATTATTTGTGCCAATGAATTTTAATACATACCAATTATAGTCATCTGGAAGAGAAGAATACGTAGATTTATAGCAAACATGAGATAAAGCTCCATCTGCAAAAACCCAAAACAGCAAAATAGATCTGGTTACTCTGAGCCTACACCCACATCAATTTAAAGCCAGTTTACTCATTTAACTAACATCTACTGTTTACTATGAAAGTCTCCACTAGGTGCCAGGGATCCAACAAATGAGTCTTGCCTTCAAAAGGGACCCCAAGAAGCGATGCCAACACGGGGGTACACCCTCTTAGGATTGGGGCACGGGGCAGAGCACCCACCACACATGGTCAGGGCCACGCATGCAAAGGCCCCGCCCGACCAGGGAGAGGCTGGGTGAGCCCGAGTTCCTAAAGAAGGAGTGCACTGCTCCTCCGGGGGAAACAACAGATAGAACCAAGTGAAAGAGCACCACGGCTCCAATCCTGCTTGCAAATGAAACTGGACGGGCATGGAATCAAATTTCCCCTAAGATCAACAGTGAACCGAAACACTGAATTTGATTTGTCTAATTGATTTTTTTTTAAAGATATTCAGTGTCATGATCAGACTATAACAACACGGGTGCAATAAAAGGTCTACAATAAAACCCTTTGTTGGAATGCTTTACACCTTCCACAGGACAGAAACTAAGATAACATGTTATACAATTAGTCACAAATACAGTCCTTGAATTTTTTGCCCATACACATGAGTATTGTCTAAAACATGTCTTCTTTGTACCAGCTAGGCCCTGCCCTGCCACCACTGTGCTTGGCTGAGTTCACAAATCTATTATAACCAGTCACTTCTCTGGCTCTCCTCTCCTGCTAAGCTTTGTTTCCTGAAAGTGTTTAAAACCTTCTGCCACTGCCTTAGTGACTGCTGCTGCTGGAACCACCATAGCCACCTTGATTTCTTGATTTGGTAACATATTGGCCTCTACCACCATGGGGCCCAGAGCTTCTGCCTCCAACATTTCCTCCCTTCATGGGTCCAAAATTTGAAGAATGACTGTTGTAACTGCCCAATTCATCATAGCTTCCATCATTGATTCTTGTTTAATTCAATTTGTCACCAGAATTGTGTAGAGAATTAAATTCATGAATTGAGGTACCACATTGGGGTACCCCAATTTTTCCCAGAAAGAACATGGGATGCACTTGGGCATTTTACAGCACTTAATTTGTAAGGAGTAATAAGCAATAAAACACAAAATTAACTGTTTTTGAGACTTGGTCTTGCTTTGTAGTGCCATGAACCTATTATATAGGTTAGGCTGCATTTGAACTCCTAGAGATTCACCTGTTTCTGCTTCTTGAGTACTGGGATTATAGGCATGCGCCACTATGAAAGGCCAGTATTTTCCCTTTTAAAAATACTTACAATGCTGGGAAGGGCGGCACTTTCCAGTAATCTCTGCACTCAGGAGGCTGAGACAGACGGAATGCCACAAGTTTAAGTCCAACCTGGACTACACAGTGAATTCAAGCCCAGGCTGGGCTACATAGTGAGTCCCTGTCTCAAAAAAACAATCAATAGAGTTCAATCCCCAGTACCGCAAAAAATAAAACAAAAAAAACAAAACAATAAACAAATCTTACAATTGAAGAGAGCCATAAGTACTTTAAATGTTTGCAAAAGGCCCATTTTTCTTTTTGGTATGCTCTTTTATTTTATTTTATTTTTTATTTTTTTTTAAAGTGTTTATTTTTTTATTTTTTTTAATATTTATTTATTTTTATTTATTACAT